GATGTGGGTGAATTCTCTGGCCCCCAACTGCTCAGCTGGATGATCCCGCAGTCCCATCCGTCCACCCTCCACCGCTCGATGGACGCGTGGGCAGAAGGCCTGGGGAAGGGGAGCCCTGTGCTGCATCCTGAAGCCACCCTGCAGCTCTGTGAATGCAAGATGTGCTGGGCCTGGAGCAGGGCCACCGCTGCTGCTCGCCCTCTGCGAGCCACTGTGAAAGCAAAACAAGTTCCTACAGCAACTGTTGACCAGAATGGACCCAACTGTGAGCAGAGCCCCCGTCTGCTCTCAGCAGCCAAACTGGAGGCAGAGCCCTGCCTGCACAAGGGCTGGTTGGTGCCAGCGGGGCTAAGGAACAACTTGTGGAGCCTCCAGGACACAGATGGCCTTCCTGAGCCTTTCCCCCTCCCTGGGACAACCCAGGCAGCCTCTTGTTTCTCACCAAAGCGCAGCACTGGGGACCAGGTCTGCGCCCTGCGTGTTTCGTGGGCATTGCGAGGCAGCACCAGGACACCTTCACCACCCGGGCAGTGTCCTCCAGGGAGCATCCCCAAAGCGGGACAAGACCAGAGCACCAGAGGAGAGGCATCTGCCCAAGCTCCCTTCAGACCAGCTGCAGAAGCAGATCCAGACAAGCAGGGGTTTCCTTCAGCTCAGCAGCTTGTCCTGCCGGCCCTGCCAACGCTCACATTGCAACAAGGTGAAGACTGATGGGTGGGAAGGCGGGGGGGTCATCTCTTCCTCCTTCTCTGGGCAGCATCTCAAGGACACCTCTAAGTCCCATGTCCCTCTTCAATTTAAATCAGCATTCATTATTGATTTGGTTGTGCCTCAAAATAGCAATCCCAGGAGCGAGTCCCCAGTAGCCAGCCCAGCCCACTCTGGGGTCAGACTGCACGGAGCCACCCAGAGATGGATGGAGAGAGGCCTCGAAAACTCTGCTTGTGTCCCAGAGCTCCCCAGAGGGGGGGAGTGCAGCCACCACCCCATGGGGCTGCTGGCAGCCACTTGAGAGCTTGGAATGTGACCGGACAGTCATGAGGTCCCTCCTGCATCTGTACCAGGGCTTCCCCATCGTCCTCCAAAGGTGAGAGGGCTGCAGCGGGGCTCTGACCCCAGACATAACCCTGATAAAACAGGTAGAGGAGCAGGTGATGCAGCCTCAGAGACTGCACATGGGCACCCATCCCTCTGGCATCTCCCAAGGATGTAACTGAGAAAAGCAATCACTGTGTGAAGCCCTCTGCCACCCAAGGAAGGGTCTCTCTAGACAGGAGAGGGGAAGGAGGGAGCTCTCTAAAGCTACTTCACCAGACAAGAGAGGGTCACACAAAAAACTTACTCTGGAAACTAGCAACAGAGAGATCTCCTGGGCACCCACAGGTAGGAGAGAGAAAGGAAACAAGAGTGCTATTAAATGAATGTATCCAGACAGGCCCAGACCCTACAAGGGTGAGGCTGAGGACAAGTTCTTCAGCTCAAGAAAGGTACCTTCTCCTCCTCATGGCCTTCTCAGCCACAGCAGAGCTGAGGAACCTCTCAGTTTGGCACCAGTGCTGAGAACCAAACTGCCAAAGGCAGCACAGGCTCTGCCAGGCTCTGAGATGCCCAAATCCATCCAGTGCCCTGCTTCCCTGGGCACCTGCTCCCTCTCACAGGGTAGCTACACAGAGACCCTTTTGGGGTGAAGCTCTGGTGAGGGCCTCTCACCTCTCCTTTGAAGGGCAGAACCCCTCATCGTGATGGATCTACCCCACAACCCAGTCACCAACCAGTGCAGAGATGGGGATGTCCAGCAAAGGAAATGCTGGCTGCAAAGATCAGTCCTGGATATTTGGCTAGAATCCCCCTATTTCAGCAGCCATCTCACCAGCTGGCCTGGCCCACAGCTGAGATGGCTGCTAGGGAAGAGGCCAGGCCTCCCTCACCATCCGCCCTAACCCTGCGTGCCAATCCTCTGCCCCACTCACTCTGCAGGCTGGGGAGGCTGGCATCCTCAGGTTTGGTTTTCAGCAAGTGTGGAAGCCGTGTGTATCTGTACCCAAAGCCACAGCCCTGGTGAAAGAGATAAGGAAAGATCTTAGAGGCTGGAAAACAGTTTGGGTTTCAAATAAATGCTCAGTGTCCAACCAACCCCAGACTCTTGAGAGGGTTCACCCGCTCACCCGCCACAGCCTGACGAGGATCCAGTTGGTCTGTGCCCAGGGTCGCTGCTCATAGGGAGCCAGGAGGTTCTTCATCATGGAGATCCGCCTGTCAGATGAAAGACATAGGTCAGCCACAAAGGGTTTGGGGACAGGGCATTAAATAGGATCCAAGGAAAAGGCTGGGGTAGGAGGCTCCCCAAACCAACTCCAGCACCCTGCTGCAGCTCCTGCACCCTCGGCGGTGCTTGGCAGTCCCCCTGCTCCCTCATCCAGCCCTGCCACCACCCCAGCCCTGTCCCAGCTCCCCGGGAACAGGCAGGGCAGCACTTACTGCTCTTCTGGGATCCTCTCTACAGCACGCAGCGAGTGGGGGTAGCAGACGTAGCTGGCCAACGCCTGCATCAGGGAGTCCCGGATGTCTGTGGAGGAACGAGAAGGGGCTGGGCCAGGCACCCAAGGACATGCAGCATGCCAGGGGGCACCTGAGCACCAGAGGCAAAGAGGGACCAACCTGCCCTTACAGGGGCTCGCTGTCCCAGGCTTAGGCAGCTAAGAAATAACACCAGATTTGACATACAAGCAGTTGGGATGTAAGTCCTGCTCTCAAAAGGTCATGTATCTAACCCTGGGATAAGCAGGACATGACAAGGGCAGTGCCCAGCCTTCTCTTTGTGTGTGGAGGCATAAAGCACTCAACAGACCCAGTAAGCAGACCCCAGCAGAAGTCTGGTGAGCCACTGGCAGTGGGATCGGCCAGACCTTATCACCCCAAAGAAGAGGAGTGCAACTTTACCCGTGCCCACAATCCTCGAGTCAGCAAAATGCTTGGCCAGGATGGCAGCGAGGCGCATCAGAGTCTCCTCGTAGCCTGCAAAGAGAAGGTGAGAGCAGGGGTCACACCAGCAGCCTGATGGGCAGCCCTGTGGTCCCAGCACAGGCCATGGGATTCATTCCCACTACAGCTAACTTTGCAGTTTTGTCTAGTTGACAAACAGAAAGCTGGGAAAGCACATTCATCTCCAGCAGAGCCTCAGTCTGCAGAGTCTAAAGCAGCTACTCAGAGAAAGATAAAACCATGCAAGGGAGTCAGATGGCAGGGGAAAGACCCCTCGTGCAGAAGAGGCTGAGCAACACAAAACCCACCCTAGATCTACACAGAAAAGCCACGTCCAGCCTGCAGGCCCTGAAGAAATCTGCTAGAAATTAATTCTGCTGCTCCCTGAACAGCAGGCACAACCCCCACTTAATGGATGTGAACATTTTAGGTATGTCCTGGTGGGAAAAGGAGCTCTTCTTACCTTTGCAGGCTCTGGAAAGCACAGAACAATTTGCTAAGAGCTCGTTGGGATCGCTTAGAAAGGAAAAGCACAGAACGTGCACAGAGGGAATCCACCTAAACACAGGCTCTTGGCATCAAGTAAGTGGTCACCTCCAGAGGGATGTATCCACATCCCAGGAGGGTTTGAAAGCAGTCCCAGTACTTGCACTCACAACACACTGCAGTAGGCAGTGGCACAACATTACCAGGGCAATCACATCTTCTTTTCACCACAGCCAGCACTGCGACAGCTCTGGGCAAGGCAAGGGCTCCCTGCCTAAGCTCCACAAGGGCCACGGCTCACCAGTGGGTACCCACAGCACACAGACAAGATACTGGTGCAGCACATCACAACCAGGAAAGGATGCCCAAGGGACGCTGCCCAACCACCGCTGCTTCACCAGAAGGACGTGGCTTGCTTTACACTTTATTAGGCCAGAATTTGCAAGGCCTGCCCATCCCCTTACCTGGAAGCTCCTCCATGCTGTTGACGGGGCTGAAGTAGTTCTTGAGTGCGCTGTAGCTGTTCATAGCCACGCTGAGGTAGAACTCGGGCATGAAAGCGAAAAGCGAGCCCGTCCTGTCGCCGTGCTCGATGGTGCGGATGCACACTCGCAGCAGCCAGTATATGTCCTGCATCTTCTCCTGGCCAGAGAGAACACAACAGCTCTCATTTGGTTTTGTCCAGCTCCCCTTTGGAGAAGTGTGACAGTCAGCACCACGTTTAGACCTCAGGAACATCTCCACGTCTGAGAGGTTCCTCAGACCGCTGCTCTAAGTTCATGAGCCAGATCTGGGCCGTTCGGTCCTGTCCCAGAGCAGCAGAAGGTTCAGGTGGAAGGAAAAATCAGAGGTTTCCACACCAACCTCAAGCTGAGAGCACAACCATCCCCAACATGACATTGGATCGGCTGTGGCTTCGTCTCACTGAGCCTTGAAACCCTCCAAGACTGCTCCTGCACAGGGCATGTCTGACCACACAGCCCCGACTGCAGAATAAGTCGTGCTAGTTTTTATTCTGAGTACACTGCCTGAAGGAAGGCAGGCACTGGCAAACCCAGCATAAATCTGCTGGAAGGAAAACCGGTCCTTCGTAGAAATTAAATGAGAACAGGCTGAAAGCTCACACCAGCTCTGATCTTTGCAATAGGCAGCCACAGCCTTCTGGATTCTGAGCCAGCCATTCAAATAGATTTACTGTCCTGAGGAACATCGGCCTCTTGCTTCTCTAAGCAAAGCTTGGCAGGTCCTAAATTAAAAATAGGAAATTTAAGGACATCTATGTAACTATAAGCCATAAAAATCAGCACCACGAAGCCATAAAAAGAGGAAACATTATTTCATATCCCGCAACGCCAAGAACTAGCAAAAGCAATAGGAATTTGCCTAAAAACATGTGGAGGGTTACACTTCTAATTCAAAAAAAATCAAATCGGAGGCGCAGATTAAGATTCATTTGCATAGTGGCTTTTCTAAAGTGTGCTGCTACCATCTCTGGGAGGTGTACGTGAGTTTGTTCTGTAAATCAGACTGAACTGGTGTAAATCAGTTAAATGGAGTAAAAGACAGCTTCATCTCAACACTGACACACAGCTCAGCCCAGCTCTGTTTTCAGGATAAAAAAGCAATTGTGCAGACAACATTAAGGTAAAGAAAGCTGCATCTGGTTTTATTAAGTCTCGATAACCTCAAACTGTCACCTCGGGTATTGCCAAGCCAGAAGAAAGCCTACACCAAGGGGAAACAAAGATGTGATTACCCACAGGGTGACGGATAAATACAGCGTTGTAACAAAACAAGCTGCAATGGTCTTCCTACAGGGATGTTTTGCTTATCTACTTTAAAACTAAGAGTGTTTTTAAGCTGCAGCGCTCCCTTTCGTCTAACCTTGAATCCCTCAGCTCAGAATGAACCAGTAACCAATTCCCCTAAGGAAGGAGCAGCCTCTCCGGTGCTCCAACACCTCAGCGCAGAGCAGGACTTCACCTCTAGACAGCACCAGTCTCTGTCTCTCCATCAGCATCAGCAGTGCCCGCAATGCTCACACAGATGTTTTTCTGCACACAAGTCCCACGGATGCAGGAGACACTGGGTGGATGTCTCCATTGGGTGACAGCAGGGACCTGTCATCTGGAGCCCTGAAGGTCCAGGCAGCAGGGACAAGTTCCTCTCCAGAGCAGCTCAGCTCCTGGGGCAGTCTGTGACCCGCTCTCCCTGCCCAGCAGACCACGGCAGGAGCACGGGGCTGTAACCTTCACTCCCAGATGCTGCTGATTCATCCCCAAAGGTGACACTGCTCTCCTGATGGGAGGCAGGCACCTGTGTAATATGACAATGGATCATCTAGAGACACAAAGAGCGTTCACGCACGGGCCACTGCAGTGATCCCTGCAATGCACACTGCTAATGCCCCCCAGGCTTTCAAGAGCAGGCTGAGAGGATAGGTTTATTTTCTGGCAAGCATGGGCTATGCTAATGCAGCTGCAGAGCTGTGCTTTGCCATCCTGGCCTGGGAGTGAAGGAGGGGACCAGCAAGGAGTGCATGAGTCAGGATCTGCCACTGCAGCTCTGCCAGGTTTGTTCAGAGGAATTACCACTCTTCCCCTCCCTGCTTCCATCCTGGGACACGTGCAGAGACCCTGCTGCTGCTGCGTGTTCAGGGAAACGTGTCTTCTTCCCCAGCTCAAAAAAGCTACAAACACCCATGGGGCACGGCAAGGGAAGACAGCAAGAGATCTGTGGAGCGTAACAGCACAAACTGCTCCTAAGAAAACAGACCAGAGACTTTATCCTGGAAAAAGGTGATTGCAGGGAAGAAGGGACAACTGGCACAAAAAGTCTGTGGGGGAACCAAGTGAAAAAGGGAAGAACACCTGAACCAAAAAGGTAGGCTCTGATCCTGCAGGTTTCAGGAAGAGCAGTATTAGTGAGATCCTCCTGTGATGTACAGCACAGCTCAGTGGTTGGCAGTAGCCTCTCTCCTCTCGGCATGCCCTGAAAACCGAGTCTCCCTTTGATCAACACCCTTCTGTCTGCAGCACAGAGCTGGTGCCCCAAGGGAAAGCCTACGGCACCACACGCAGCTCAGAACAGGCTGGGCTGTGTCCTAAAAAATGCTACGGGTCCCAGCCTGGGACAGGAGCGGGTCCAGGCCTAGGAAGGAGTCTCTGATGCACGAGAAGGGAAAAATAAGCCTCACAGATCTTCAGCACTGCTCCAACACCAGGGAAAACAACACCTGTAACACACGAGCCAAGCAGCACAGGTACAGAGCTCACTCGCTTGGTCTCCCCTCTGAGCTGTTCACATTACGTCCCTGCCCACCTTTGAATAAATGGTGACATTTATCCAGGCGAGGCGTCGGCTTAGGTGATTGAGCTTCTCAGAGAAGACCTTTTGGCTCTTCAGCAGCTCCTCGTGGATGTCTCTCCTCTGAAAAGAGTGCAGAGATGTGAGGACAGATGCCACAAACAATGCAAAAGCAAATACCACCCTGGGGCTAGCTGGGGAGTATTGACAGGAGGGAAAGGGGTCAGCAGCCTTTCTGTGGAGGAAGTGGGAAGCAATGATATAAAGGGCATTTATTGCCCTAAGCTGCAGCCCACAGGGCCTGACACAGATGCTGGTCCAGTGTGGGCAGCAGCAGAGGGTCAACTGCTGTCACCGATGGATTTTTAATGCATCAGCAGATACATCCAGTCACTAGAAGCTGTAATATGACAAGATAGGAAGTCCCCATGCCAGGGAGACCAGCTCTGAGGTGTCTGCAGCACATGGAGGTTTGCAAGCTGCAACAGCTTGTCTGGGAGAAGCTGAAGTGGTTGCTTAAGTCTCTCTGTTCCTTGAGGCAGTGGTGCAATGGGTTGGCATGGTATGAAATGTGGCTGCCAGCTCCAGGCATGGGTTACTACCCCATCCAAGGCATTGCCCGCTCCAAGGCTGAAAATCACCCAGTGTGCTCCATCCTTTTGTGCCAGATACTGAGGCTCTGAGATAGGGAAGCTGGGAGTCCAGAGACACTTACCCTCTTTGGGCAGCGGCTGATTTTTTCCTCTGTGTCCTTCAGTGCCATGGCATATTCATTCACATCATCTGACACACCAACCATCTGAAAAACAAGCAGATTCCAACAATAAATGAGGGTATTTTTTCCCCTAGACACATAAGCATGCAACCAGATCCCCTGCAGGGATTAGGAGGAGAAGGAAAGGGCAAACACACACACTAAATAAGCAGGAAACAGAGTCAGTGTAGAAGCACGGAGGCTGGGAAAATGGATTCCTGCATTGCATGTGTCACTTACCTTCCCAAGCTGCTGGTGGACACTGAGGTTGTACATCATCACTATCCCATCCAGGACTTCCAGGAGGGAGTTCTCTGTGATGGGCTGGTCTGGCTCCTCTGGGGGTCTGCCCAGTAAGAGGCCTTCATTTCCATGGCTGCCTTCAACTGCAAATGCATCCCCAAGACAGGAGACAAGTTCTCAGCAAGGCATTTTGGCACCTCAGCTTCTGCCTGCGCCTCTCTGAGGCCAAAGCCCTGCTGTGCCTCTGTAACACAGCACTCCTTCCCAGCCCATGGGATTCACCAGACACACCAACACACTATTCCCATCTCATTGCCCACACCAGGTTGACCTGCTAGATCTGTTCAGACCCAGACCATGCAAGTCCCACTTCCTCGAGCCCCACACATGCTTCAGAGGCCTGCCTGGCCTGCCCCAACAGCCACGCTGCTGCTACTGCACACGCCATCCTCCGGCTGGTCCACGTTCAGAGGAAGCATGGCTACAGCTGCCCTTGAACTACCTCTCTGCAAAGCCTCACTGCGCTTGCAGGAATCAAGGCAGCATCTTCTTACAGCATCACCAGCGTCATGTTTAGGATGGGAAAGTGGTTAAATGTGGACTGTGGGTGTCAGCGTGTCCTGAGAATGGGAAGGAGCAATGCTGGCAATAAACAGATTGCTTTCCTCTCGAGAGTACTGGGAGCTGGAAGACACCGTTCACCCAGGGACCACCTGGGCCATACTAGCACGCAGCAGAAGCACTCACTGTCCTCCTCTGTCCGCTGCTCCACGCTTAGTGTGCGCACTTTGATCTTCTCCAGGGCGCCAAGAGGCCGACGCGGGTTCATCAGGCTGACGGCCGCCGTGCTGAGGAAGCGATTGGCACGGCCCAAAGTGGGGGAGCTGAGCCAGCCAGGTCTAGCGAGAGCTCCACCAATGGCCAGGGCAGCAGAGGGACGCTGAGACTGAAAAGAAATTAAGGGAGAAGCAGTTCTAGCTGTTTGGCTGCCCACAATTCCTCCCTTGTGCCTGCAAGGATGTTGGTATAGATGCACGGTGGCCACCGGAAGGTGAGCAAATACCCTTCCTGTCATGGCTGGGCCAGCAGGGCTGGGTTAGCAAAGGGATATTCCTTCCTCTAAGGGTCCATATAGATCTGCACAGCAAGAAGCTGCTCTGTCTGCAGTTGCCTTGTGCCCTTTCAAATGCAAGCACCAAGAGCTGCCATGGAGGGGAAGGGGCTTATTCAGATCAGTGGGCAGTGAGAAAGCAGAGCAAAGGAAATTTTGCTGTTCAAACTTGGTGCATCCAGGACCTTGCTGATCTCCAGCAACCCTCATGCAAGTGCAGTTGTTTATCTGACTGCTCATGGGCTGGTTACAGTCCTGGCCCAGACACTGCCTTCCTCTAATGCAAAGCTTTTCTAGCCAGAGGCTGAGCTTGGGCCCTGGCACCAGATGAAGAACTGTACATGGCTCACCTGTGCTGCTGATGTTGCCGATTCCTCATCTTCATCGAGGTCGTCCATAGTCACAGCCTGCAGCTCCGCAGGGTCGATCACGACATTGGCTTTTGCAGCCAAGTCATCTGCATAGAGCACATCAAAGCAGCTGTGAACACAGGGCTCACCCTTTGCCTCCCATGAGGCAGCCCTAGGCTCATCCTCTGCCCTGCTTCTCGGCAGCAGAGAAGCAGCCAGTGAAGTAGGATGCTGCGTCAGAACAAGCTCACCTCCCCACCGGCTTCCTTACGTGGAATGGGTCTGCCATTGCTAACACAGCAGAGACCAAGCTGCTCACCCACCACCCATTTCTGGTCCTGGTCCTACCAGGAACAAATAGAATAACTGAGGAACCAGGAGACAACACCAGGGCCAAACTGGTCCATAAAGACTATCCTAAGGAAGGCAACTCAGGGCCTGAGACCATTTTTTAAGCATCCAGCTCTTCTGCCCCATGAGAAGTCCTCAAGTCACTAGGACTGAGACTCAGACCAGAAACCATTCTCAGCCCAGAGGAAGGCTGTGCTGATGGCTGTGCTGTACAAAGCCTGAACGTGTCCTCTAGCCCATAGCCTTGTCTTTAAAGCTGGCCAGGAAGACTTTGGTAAGAGACCAGAGATTACATGGTTCTCAAGTTAAGTAATCTAATTTTGAACAGCCAAGGATCAACCTGAGACAGGGAACATGGTGATAACCTTGCAAACACACTAGGGAAGGAGAAGCTCTGAGCCAAAGGCAAGCGCCACATTAGCCAGAAACCAGAGACAAACCAAGCACGACTGAAAGGCAAGGGGGGTCCAGAAACCAGAGACAAACCAAGCACGACTGATTGGCAAGGGGGGTTCTAACCCTTCCAAAGTGGAGGCTTTAAAAGTCTGTTGCCAGAGTAGCGTGCTGCATACAAACACACAGCTGCAGTGCAGACACACGGCTGCTATTGCTTGCCCAGAGTGGTAAATGCTGGTCATCCTTCACAGCCAGCAGAGCCAGGTTGATGGTCAGAGCTCTGACAGCTCCCAGTCCTGTGGTGCAGCAAGAGCACCAGACCAGAGGGTATTCCCTGACCACCTCCTTCCCTCCACCAGCCACAGGCCCCATTCAGGGATGTAAACAGTAAACTGCTAACCTAAAAGGACACTCCATTCCAGAGGGATGGTGTCGTCTTCAGTGTAACCTGCATCTCATTAAAGTTCAAGTCTCCTCTCCTTAAGTTTAATCACAATTCCTTTCCCATGGCTCCCTCCCTGCGATGTCTCTTGGCTGAACTCCAGCCAGGACCTGGGTGCAGGTATTGGAAATGAGAGCACTCACCTTTCAGAGTCTTCTTAAGATGAGACAAGAGACCTCCGAGTCGCTGAAGGTCAAAATAATCCACCTTCCCGTTGTAGAAGAGCTGAGGAGGGACATATGCCTCTAAAGCAGAGAAGATTATTTTCCCATGAGTCATACGCACAGGACCCACATGTAAGACACGTAAACCCTCCTAAGATAGACCCCAGGGCCCAGCCTGGACTAATGTTTAGTGACAACTTTTAATGACATAAAAGCACAAGGCAATAAGGCAGAGGTGATTTCCACAATGAAGCAAGCACTAGATCCAGGCAGGAACAGGACCATCCACAACAAGCCTCCCAGCACCTCCTTCCTCACAGCCACAGTCACTGGGGGAAACTGGATCATCAGAGCTCTCAGCAGCTCTCCACCTGGCTGCTCCAGCTCCACCACTTAGCCCCATGAGGACTGTAAGGAACTTTCTAGTGAAAGGGTCAGCCTAAAGTAAGAAAAGGGAGTGCCAAGCAGATCATGGCAGGACAGGCAAGGTGAGGTTTGAGGGTGGGAAAGCAGCTGGCACTGACTTGGTTTCCACTTATTCCCACAGTCTGGGAACCATGAAAAGGGACAAATATCTTCCCCTAAACTTTGACTATGGGATCACCAAGCTGCCCTCCTACAGACCCATAATTGATATCAGACTCTGCTCCAGAGCATGCAGGGGAAAGCAGCAAACAGTATAGGTGCCCCTTTGCGAGTCTCAGGTCTGGATGTCAACTGACACAGGCACAGGGTGACTGGGAACTACAGACACAGGGTGACAGAGGGCTCAAGCACCAAATTTCCAGCATCCAGGAGAGGACTGCCAAGAGAAAAACCTCGTGCTAAGCACAGAAAGGTCCCCAGAGCTTCTCCTCCAGGTCTTACCTTCACTGCTAAGTGCAGCAGGGTTCTTCGCCTTGTGGCCATCCCAGAAGAAACGCAGGGCAGCGATGAGCCGGTGCAGGAAGCACACCATGTACTCTGGTGGGCACAACACAGTCAAGTTCTAGGGCAAGAATGAGAGTTCAGCCATCAGGGCAGGAGTGAAAGTGCATCTCAGTCTCAGTGGCCACATCGGGCTGGCAGAAGCTTTGTGTTCTCAGCCTTGCTACTACTTCAAGCTTCCAGCACTGGGAAAGAGCCCAGCACTGATGGCAGGCAGCCGTTTCCACCTCTAGAAAGTCCTGGCCCCTGAAACAACCACCTGATCTGACAGAGGAAAATGGGATACCATGCGCTCCACCATGAAAGCTGGGGTTGATCGTGAACGCAGAGATGCAGGTGAAGAAAGGGTTTCCTGCAACAGCAGACGCAACCTCCCAAAGCTGCAGGCCAACAGCCTGATCCAGGGTCTACGAACAGTCCCCATCCAAGCAGCAAAGAGGGTGCCCAAGGCAGCAGGCCAGCAGTGCTGGAGCACTCCACAGCCATGGTCTTGAGAGGTTTTAGAAGGACGTTCAGCTCCCACCCAAAGCTGCCCCAAGGACTGCTTTCCCATAAATCACTGCAGAGGACCTGGGTAAGCTGCCTGGTCTCTAGCCTCAGATCTTCTCCCTCCTCCCCACTCCCTGCCTATCTAGACCTCAGCCGATCCATTGCTGCAAGCAGCCCAACAAAAAGGGCAGAACTTCCAACCTGAAGGTGCCAGAGAGCTCTCAGGGTGAGGCCTGCAGGAGGGCTGGCCCTCTGACTTACCCCTCTGTTGCTAGTGTTCTCCTGAAGAAACTTGCGGAATTTGTTTAGGAAGATGTATCTGGAGGCTTCCCCCTGGCAGGAGGAAGAGCAAGTGTTAAACCTACACCTTACAAGTCCTGTGATGTGGAGATACTGCAGCAAAAGATCCACAGAGCACTTACCCCTCCTCTGTCCTTGTTGTTCAGCAGCAGCTTCAGAATCTGAACCTGGAGACCTTCCACCACTAAAATGGGGACACGTGTCTGCCATCAGAAAACAAGCACTGGAGAGCAACTACCCATGTTAACCTCAACTGCAGTACCCTGTCCCCGGGAGAGAGGCCACCTCCTTAGCAGAGGGAGCCCAGGGAGGACCGATGGCAGCAGAATGCTAAACCCATCACTGTGAAAATTGTCTCCTCTGCTACCTAGCAATAAATTAATCTGCAGCCGATAAACACTGTTCGGGAGAGAGGCCACCTCCTTAGCAGAGGGAGGCCAGGGAGGACCGATGGCAGCAGAATGCTAATCCCATCACTGTGAAAATTGTCTCCTCTTCTACCTAGCAGCCGATAAACACTGTCCCTAAGGGGGAATTTTGGTTTGCTTGTGTCCCATGGTGGGATGCTGCAGGTCTGCCCAGTGGGGTCCCAGGACTGACACCCCTCCACCAACTAACGGCATGGCTGGCCCCCGTCAGGAACACAGCCAGACTTCAGGTGGTGGAAGGGATTTGGAAACAGCTCAAGGGTTGGTCCCCTTGGTTGCACAGAAGGTACAGGATCTTGGCAGCTCCTCTCCTTCCCCACACACCTTCAATGCGTTTCTTCAGCCGCTGGCAGCCTCTTTCATATGCCCGCCGCCTCAGTCTCTCCTCAGCACTCTCCTCCTTCACCTCCTTGCTCTCCTTGCCCTGGTTCAGGGACAGACATGGATTAGTAGGAGGTCACTGCATGGGGAAAATGCCTCGCCAAACGGAGAGCAGAAACTCCCCGAAACAACGCGCCAGTGCGTGAACACAGCTGGCAGCACACCCAAATAGGCCTTCCCTGGTCTGGTAACGACTTAAGGGCAGGAGATATTTTGAGGACACCCGAGTCAACCTGCAATCCCTTAGATGTTGTAAAGCTCCCTTCCAAATCTGTTGCCACAGAAAACTGCCCTTCTCCCCTGTCCCGAGCAATACACCCCAAACATCCCCTCTAAGGGATACTAAAGATGACAGGGCAATAGAGGCAACTCTCACACAGCTCTGCAGTGTCCACCAGTATTAGAAACGTGGGCTTCCTCAGCCAGAAAATGATGGGGACAGCAGGCTGTGAAATTTCTTCAGCCTCCTTAGCGGATGTGCCCTTACTCACCTCCTTGGTGAAGCGGTTCGGCCACCACGTGGTGGGAATGAGCTCCTGCAGCCCAGCCTCCTCCACACGCAGTGGGCTCTTAATGTAGAAGAACACAACAGAACGGAGCACGTCGAAGCTGCGGCCAAGTTAAAGCAAGCACAGAAGCTATGTTGGGAGAAGGCACAGGGTATGCTTCCAGAGCTGTAGTGAGAGAATTCCTTTCCAACCAACCACTCAAAGCTCTGCAAGATCCAAAGCCCCCTTTCTCCAGGGAGAAGCTCCATGTGGCTATCGCAGCAGCTGCCCAAATGCTAGCACAGCAGCTGGACTGCTCTGAAAGTGTTTTTGCTCTAGGGACATCAGGGAGTTCAGGCAGGCAGAAATTAAGTCCTGTGTGTTAGCAGGATGTGATCTATGTGGCACCGCTCCCCCTCCTCAAAGCAGGACTTTGTCATGAACGGTGTCAGGCAGAGATCTGAGAAATCAGCAATGACCTCTCAAAGATAGGGTGGCTTCTGCCTCCCAAGACCTGCAGATCCTTGCTGTCTCCTTGGCTGCAGTACTGAGGGCAGGGAGAACAGAGACCAGGGGTGGCACAAAGGATACAGAACATTGCTGAGTAGGTATTTCCTGGATTTCTCATGCTTCAAGACTGCAATGGTGAGCCGGAGGTAGTGAATCTAGGGAAACCGGAGAAGCAAAAGTGACTTCATCTACAGAAGAGGATGTGACTCTAATAGGTACCATGTTACAGAACTGCTATCTCTGGATCAAACAATTCCAAAGTCCAAAACATCCTGTACCTTCGGGCAAAGGGACATAACAGAACAGATTCTCAGGGATTCAGAAGTGCAACTCACTTGCAAACCCAGGTCTGGGATGATAGGGGAGAACCTGTAAGCCCGCAGCAAGGACATCAGTAGCTGCTTGAGGCACTCATGTACTTCATACTCCTGAGAAAACAAGAAACACATTGAACAGCAACAGCACAGAGTTGGGAATAGCTACAGTTCCTGTGGCCTTGGAAAGAAGCCTGAACTGAAAAAGGAGGTGCTCTGAACCCACAGCGTTTGTCCACCTGACTCCACAGGACAGAATCCAAGCAGAAGTTGGTGACATTGCTTTGCTATGGGGAAACAAACTTCTGCACGAGTAAAACGAATCCAAAAGTCACCTACAAAAAGCCAAAGGCCCAGGTCCTATTAGTGGGGCCAAGTCACCCATCCCATCCTCTGAACCCACCCAACACACAGTGTTGACAGAACCAACCCAGAAAGGAAAGAAGTTACTCTTGTGTACATATGATGATGGAAGAGCTGTCTTTTTCGAGTCCAACTCATATCCAGTCACCAGGATGAGTGTCAACTCTTCCCCAAACACAACAGATCTACCAGAGTGCTCAGCTTCACTTCTAAGATGATGAGCCTGAGGGGGGCATGACATATTTCAATTAAACCTTTCATGAGAGCTGGCTGGGCCAGCGCCTACACCCGTTACTTGCTACCCTGAAGGACAGACAGGCTGTCTCTAAGCACATCTCTGGCAGTGACTGGCCCTGTGTAACCATGCCTGCACTCCAGCAGCAGCAGCTTCCCAGTGGCTAGCAAATGCTGCCTCAAACAAGTGTCCCAGGAAGGAGTGATCTCATGCAGCTTGAACAGGAAGGGGCATGGCAAGTTGGAGAAGGTTCTTCCCCAGCACTGCTGGAGGTGGCAAGAGTCCAGTGTCCAGTTCCTATTCCAGTGCTGCACACGTTGATCGATCTCTTGGGGCACATGGAGGCATTTAAGGCCTCCACAGTCACATAAGGATTAACAACATCTAAAAGACCAACCTATTTCTTACCGATGAACTTGATGTTCCCAGATGCAGGAAGTTATTCGACATCACCAGTTCCTTTAGCAGTAGGAGAAGCTTAGCAATGCCTTGTTAGCTCTTTGCCAGTGTCACCATTACCACTTACTCTGCATTCAACCCTCATTCCCTGGCAATGATGCGGTGGCCAGATGAGCTAGGTGAGAGGCTGGTCTACCACAAAAAGGGATCTTGTCACCAGGAAGGGAAAGAAGCTGATCACTACCAGCATTTTCTAAGGAAGTCTCCTGTACTCAGCACCTCCCAGGGTCTCCCTGTGATCCCTGAGGAGGAACCAGCACCCTAGCAACTCACCTCCATGAGAAGCCACATGAGATCCAGCAGCTGCTGAATAAGGGGATGGGCCTCCACTGCCCCTCCTCGCTCAAGGATGCTCAACAGGAAGGTCATGAGCACATCTTCCACCAGGTACACCTTGCACTGCAGACAGAGAGACAGGTCAACCGTCCTCCGAGGCACAGCCACTTCCCAGCGAAAGCTGAGGTTTACCTCCCCTGCCAAGCACAGTAACAGGCACGTACAGAAGCTTGCAACGGGGAGGCAAAACTCACCATGAGAGGAGAGAAATAATTGAAGATGTGGGCTAACGTAATCAGCACTGTGGGTTCTCCCTGCAGCTGCCACACGGACGTGTCCTTCTCCACCAGCTTCCCCTCCTGCAATGACAAACCCAGAAAAACACACGGCTTGGATCCAGCCCAATCCAGCCATACGCCCACGACTGAACGAACCAGAGGCCTGGAGAAGCCACTGTTTGCTGTCCCACGCCTGGCTGCGCTGAAAACCTCGAACGTGGGAATTAAGGATGGCAAAGCAGACAGGTTCTTGCCTCTGGAGAGCTGCAGTGCAGTCCAGATGTCAGCTGCCATCAGCCACATGCACGCACCTTGACAAGCTGTTTTTCCAAAAGGGGTCAAGTGTACATGATCATTTGTAAATGGGAATCCCTACAGAGGAGGTCAGCCAGTAAAGCAGGCCTCCATTCAAGCCAAGACCACAGCAGATGGTGTTCCCTATGCTTTGGGCATAAACAGATTATTTCTCACTCTCACAGAAAAAAATGGTTTCTAGCAAAGAGTGCTACAGCCAAAACAGTTCTCAAGGCAGAAACACCAGAATTTCACCACATCACTGCACCAGGACACCAGTAAAAAGTTCAGGATATGAACAAGCTTCTTTCAAGGCTGCAAAATAAAACCCAGCAGTTCTGACCCCAACAAACATCAGCTCTTGCATACTAGCAATGAGATGTCATAGACTGAGAACAACAAAGCCCAGTATGATTTAAGTCCTGGAACTACCAGGAATCCCATTTTGCAAGCCAAAGAGCTCCAGGGACACACATGCCCCATGCAAAAGCACACAAGCATTTAGACTCTCATGTATGGAAACGTCTGAGTTGCCAGGATGTGCTTAGAACCACATTTCCCAGCACGGTGCCCCACAGATCCACCCAGTGACGTTAGCCTACCGTCACATCTATTCCAACATGGATCACATTCTTCAAGTAGCCCAACAGCTTGCGAGCCTTCACCAGGTCTGCAGCGGGAGGATCTTGCAAGGGGCGGTAGCCTTCCACTGGATAAGTAGGCAAGCGTTAAGGTAAAACGCAATCTGATCCTTTCGAGACTTCTCTTGTTTGTGCAAGGAAAAGCCCACCTCTCTATTTTACTTTATGCCCACGCACGCCTCGGTCACAGTTCAAACCACAGTGCCTTCTAAATGGATGCTAAGTCACAAGCTCCTATCCCCACTTCCTCAATATTGCAAGCAGCGAGTGTTTCACACCACGCTTCTGCTCTTATCAGAAAGACAGATGGAGCCTCCACTACAGGCACACCCAGGACTGCTCTGACAGGAGCTGCAGGTCTCAGTGTTCACACAGGAAGGCAGCAGGCAACGCTTCTACCACGTCAGAGCTCGAAGGGACCAGTGGCCAAGAGGCTCAGCAGCACAGCAGCACTAGTGTTTCCAAAACTGGAGTGAGATCTCTGCAGGATCTGAGTGCCCAGTTATAGGCAGCTCCCAGCTGCAGCAATAGCTACTGATTTAGAGCAAACCTCATTTCAGAAACTGCTGGGGACCAACACCGATGTTTGCATAGGGGTGCTGAGGGGGTAGCTGGTTCTTCTCTCCTTGACCCTGCTCTGCGCACAGGCGCCAACAGAAGAAAGCGGCCTGCGGTCAGGTGTGTATTCTACAGCCTCAGGACAGGCCCTTCTCCCCTCACCCACCCTCCTCTCAGCACACCCAAAGGATATCGGAGTGGACGGCTCCCGAAGTTAAAAGCAACAGACTCTTTGAACGAGAGGCTGATGGCAGGGAAGTAAGCCATTCCAGCGCCCCTCGTGATGTTATCAAAAGCAGTTCCCAGAGAGATGCCGTTCCTGAAAGAAGGAAAACCCACAAGATTTTAGTCCCGGCAGGGAGGGTTTTAAGGTCAACCGGGCAATTCAGGTATCTGTGTTCCCCTCCCAGTAACCTGCCAACATGGACACATCAGTCAGCCAGGCCTCCTGTCACTTTTAACCTGGCACATGTGCAAACTTTAGAGTTTTGCTGAGTAACAGCCATGGGAAGCACAGCAGCACCCCTATTTTTATACGATGGCACAGGAAGGGACTGGAGCCTGCACAACGTGCAGAGCCCAGTCAGCTTCAAGGGCAACCCAAATCCTTATGAGAGAACTAACCAGCACAACATTTTAAAGGCAGGTGACATTTTTGGCCTCATCTGGTGAAAACAGAAGAATAATGCTCTCAATCTACTCCTCTCTAAAAGATGGCATAGAGTATCTAACAGTTTTTAATTACGACTGACTTATCACAGGCTGGAGTTTAGGGCCAGGGAATAATTCTCATTCAGGCTGGCCTCTCTCTGTGCATGGGAGTTGGAAGTGGGAGATTTTTCAGCCTTTCCACAGCTCCTTTTGATCTAGGACAGGCAGGGTCTACACTGACCACAAAAGCAAGCACCGTGGCTCACCCAGTTGTAGTATTAAGCATCACAAGAGACGCCCTCCCTCCCAAAATCCTAGCACAGACTTTGTAGCTTGAACGTCTTTCTGCCAAATGCTCTCACCTGAACTCTGGAGACTCAACAGCCCATTTAGATGGTTTCTGAACACAAAGCAGAAAAGTAAAGGCTGGAACTACTGAAGAACTTAAAGGGGAGAGGGCAGAAATCAGGCTCAGCGACCTGCCGAGCAGTGAGGAAACTTTTATGTTACACACAGACACCAACAAAGCAGGGAACTGGGCAAAGATGCTTACAGGCAGAAAGCAATGGTGCCCTCATCAAGGTCTATCAGACAGCTGACGATGTCTCCTGCTGCCCACGACTGCAGTAAAGGGAGAGAAAAGGTTAAACACATATCCAGAGTGTTCCCACATCAGAACAAAGACTGCAACCCAACCAATCCCCTGTGATTCAGAGTTGAAAAAGAGAGAGTTCCTTCTCTCAGCAGCTCACACAGCATTTTCAGACACTTCTGGAAGCTGCACATAAGCCACTGATTGGGATCTTTTTGCCCTCCAGCACTAGGAACGTGCACGGGATCAAACGTATATTCATCCCAACACTGCATCATCCTCTGATGTGCTACACAGAACCAGAGCCTTACAGAGACCAACAGCAGCTCTATGAACCAGTCTGCTGGGGCTGCTAAACAAAGCACCCACATAGCATGTCCAGCACCCCTAAAATACAAACAATTGCTGGCACACAGCCTCCCCCAGAGCAGACTGAAGCAGGGAGGACAACTTGAGGGCATTTCACAAGGCCCAGCAGAATCCAGCAACCAGAAGGAGCCGCCTGCTTTCTTCTCCTTACTTCACATCTCGTTCCTGGGAGAGCAGCTACTCACTTTGCCGTAGTTGGTCGTAGTCACGTTCCACTTGCGCACCCTGTTTCCATCATAGGCATAGGAATCTGGTGTATCTCCAACTCCTTCCTGCAGCAAGGTGTGAAAGAGGAGACTCAGACCAGACCAAACGCAGAGGATCCTCCTCATTGCAAGAGCAGTTTTAAGTGGGTGACCAACAGACAGGGAGATCAGCCGGCAGCACACATGCACTGCCTGGGAAAAGCCCTCATTCTAGGAGTTAATCCAGCGGCCTGTGATCTTTGGTTCAGGGAAATACACCACTCCCTGCTCATTTTTGGGTCAGAAGAAGAGTACTGGCATCCCACACTTCCAGCTTCCACCAAAGCAGCCCCCCAGGTTGCCCATCACCTCCCTCCTCACAAGCTGCAGAGCAGCCAGTTAGTGAAACTCTGCTGCTGATATCCCTTCCCAGCATCAAACATCCCACTCGGTGTCTGAGAAGAGCTGGCCTGGGCTTGTCTCTCCTGGGCAAAAAAGCGCTGTAGCCCCAGCTGCCAAGTGCCATCCTAGGAGATGGGCTGCCAGCACTGCAGACCCACACATTCTCTAGAGAAGAGGCCAGCTGAAAGTCAGCACATAGCAGTGGCTACACGCAGCAAAAGCACAGCAACGCACCCAGTGTGCAAGGCTTTTGCACTGCACACCATTCTGTGAAGACCATAGACCTGGTATTTCTATGTGTGAGCTGGGCACAAAATGCCAGCAGGGCAGGAGCACAGCACCAGTGTGATGCTCCACAGTGACCCAAAGAGCAGTGGAAGAACACAGAGCAGCCCTGTGCCACACGCAGTGGTTACGTTACCTCCTGGTTAAATCTGCAGTTGAGAGTACACCAGCCAATCTGCATGAGTCCCTGGGAGGAGATGAGCACCTCGTAAATCCATTTCCCTGAAAGAAAAAGAGAAGCCATGCAGTAAATCCCTGCCTGTTAGAGAAGCAGAACCTGACAGTGCTCCCACAGAAATCAATGTGGCTCACAAAGGAGCTTCGGGACATCCCCAGCATTCCCTTCCCAACTCCTCATTCTGGCATCACACAATCCTCCATCCTTCTGACTTCCTGGGAAAGCCAGTGGATGAACTGGGGAAGGGGGGGCTCAAGATCTGGAACATATTTCAAGATCTCCTGAGCTCTCTAGTTGTGTAACTCTCCATACACTTTTCCCAGGGTCTCTTCTCAAAGCATCACTGGTTTATCTCCTCACCTTTATACACGCACGTCGTGGCCCTGATGGACCCGAAGTTACTGTGGCCAATCACCTGGACCAACAAACAAAAGGTATTTTAAAGTCTGACAAAAGACAGTTTTGCTCAGCCCTACCCATTCCCCCTGCCCTAGCCCTCAAAACCAAAGCGAGATGTAGAGCTATTCACAAGTACAGTGTAGGGGAGAGGTAGGACATCATCTCCATCCCAGCACTGTACCTGGAGCCAACAGGCCCTGGGGGACCATCCAGGTCCTCACCACAGCTCATCTGTACTCGATAAACCCAGAGAAGCATGCAGTACAAGGGCAACACGGTGACAGACAGGTTCCCAGTGACTTGTGACAGGTATACAGAAGTGACTATTGCATAGGAAAGATGTCTGAAACTCGGACAAGTTAGAACAAAACTACAGATTCAGGGTGTCCAGACTAAAGCCCAGGACTGGCAGGTAACACACTGCCCAGAAACTGAGCCCTCTTAACTCCCGACTCTCTCAGCCTCAGGACAGATCATGAAGAAGAGATGAAGGAAGCAACAGGGAATTCACAGGCAATGAATTCACCAGTCTGAGCTGATATGAGGGTAAGTTCTAGGTACCACCAAGGTAACAGGAAAGGGAAGACCAGGGCAGCCTCCTCTGCTAGAGGTAAAAAAGGGTGCACAGGTTAAGGAAGGAAGGAGCACAGAAGCACGGGATGTGCATGCACGGTGAAGGGGTGAAAGGATTGCAGAAATCACTGAAGTAGGAAAGGATTAAACTCCAGTGGATTCCTTCAGCTGGTTTTCTGCATGAGGATCATCAGCTAAGGGGCAAGCAGGGAGCTAGTAGAAACAAAGGAGAAAGGAAAGCCTCAGCTTCAGTCTCTCGCCACCACTAGAGAAGGGCAGAAGGAAGGAAGGAAGGAAGGAAGGAAGGAAGGAAGGAAGGAAGGAAGGAAGGAAGGAAGGAAGGAAGGAAGGAAGGAAGGAAGAGGCAGCCTGCTGGAGGGAGGGACAGGAAAGCTGCTGCTGGCCTTTACGCTGCTTGGCCAAGCTCTTCAGTGAGCCCCTGGGCCAGGGTAATCCTTTCACTTCCTCGCAGCTCCACTCAGCTTCCTGAGACCTGAGGGTACTGCGAGACCTTTTCCCAGGAGAGCTCATTTCCTCCAGGATCCTGCAGCTTCCTGGGTAGACTCTGTTCACAGCACTGGCTACAAAGCCAGCGACAGGGAGCTGTTACGAAGAACAAACCGAGAGGCCCAAAGCGCTTTTAGTTCCACAGGACCATTTTCTGCTGCACCCAGCATCACACTCACCCCAAGTAAGTCATCATCGACCAGCAGGAGCCCCTCAAATCCGCTTGTGTGGTCCAACACCACAGTAGATGGACCAAGCCGGCCCTCTGCTACCTGATCTGAAACAAGAGTTGCAGAGAACCTGTCAGGGTAAGCTGTGCAGGATTTGACATCACAACTGATGAGTGCCTCCCGCTAGACTACAATAGCACCTTCTTCTGGAGGAAGACTAAAATAGGGTTACCCACGTTAGACCACGAGAACCTCAGGAAAGGAGACAGCAGTGAGATTTAAAAGGCAGTTTTCACAGCAACACACAAAATCTTAGCTATGCAGCACTCAGGACATATGTTAAGTGTTCCACATCCCCTGAAAATTGTATTTGGCAAAATTCAAAGACCAAACTAAACTCTGAGCCAAATGTTTGGCCAACATATCACGCTTTGATTGCAGCCAGCAAGAAAAATTGTTCTTTTTAGGAGAGGAGCCAGGTTGTATCGTGCCACATCCTGACTCATTCAGGGAAACAGATGCTAGCAAGAGCACAGGCAACAGCCTGCAGCCCAAAGTGAATACCTACGGTGGAGAAAAACGTGTAAAAATTGTCAACAGACCTCTGCATTTCTCACTGCTTGTCACAGCAATGGTTCTGAATATCGTTACCAGCTAAATACCTCCAACGTTTTCCCCAAAACTGCTTTTCCAGGTGTTTTTGCCTGGAAATATGCCTCTGTATCTGCAAGCAGGCCTGCTCCAGGGCTGGCTGACGAGTCCCTCACAGGCAGGATTTAAAAGTACAATAAATTAGAGCACAGGAGGGCAGAACAAAGCTCACTGAGGGAAGCGCCTTTCATGATACAACTTGTTCTCCCAATTAGCCAGCACAAGGAGAAGCACGAATTGGACAGACTCAGCGTCTCCTACCTTGAGCGTCTTCAGAGCCATTCTCCTCTGCCAGCAGCCGGTCAAGGTGCTCCTGCAGGTTCTGGAACGTCAGGTGCTTTCTAGGGAGTAAACACACACAGGAGCTCTTTAGAAAACCCCGTCTCCAAGTTTTAGAGCTGCAGCCCAGACACATCTCCTGCGCTGTGAGACACGAACCAGGATGTCCTGTCTATCTGTGTTCCTTGTCACACATCTGAGGAATTCGCTGCACCGCATGTTTAGGCAATGAAGGAACCAAGAACCAAACAGAGTGTGAGCAAGCAAAGTAGATAACAGAGGATCTTAACGTCTTTGGTCTGCTTGGGAGTGTTTTGTGGCAGTCAGAAAACAGTACTGCAGCTGTACGAAACCAGCTGTACCAACAACCGCGACTTGGCTGCAGTCAGCACCACACGAACATGGCCTAAGTCAGGATTCACTTCTTTTCTCCCAGGTATTTTGTAACACAAAAGAAAAGAGAAGACCATAGCAGCAGCGGTAGCAGTTCAGACAAAGGCCAGGCTAGCCCAGCACTCTCTCTCTGACAACAGCCACAACCATTTGTTTCCAAACTGAGAACTTTCTCGGGCACCCACCCCCTCCAGGCCACTATTTTAGAGAACGTTCTCATACTGCCCTCCCCTAGCTCTCTCTTTTCTAGGCTGGTTTACTTAGCTGTTCCTTGTACAAGAGCCATGCCAGGCATCTGACTTGGTCTCACCCTTCTTCAAAACCTCCACGTCTCTAAAATACCAATTTGCAGCTGGTGAGACCAGAACGACACAACACTCGAGATGAAGGTAAACCACAGATTGATTCAGTGGCACAGTGATTTTCCTTATCCTACATACATTTCCTAAGAATGCCTAACTTCCTACTTTCTTTTTCTGACTCAGTATTCTCCCCCCAGCCTCACTTCTACACAGTAAAAATCAGCCCACCGTGGTATGCACGTTGAGGCCGTTCCCCGTTCATCACTTTGCGTTTTCCTACACTGAGTTTCAGAGCCCACCCCACTCTCCAGTCACTATCACAGCCACCTTACCTCGACATTGAACTAAATACTAAATACTACCTAAATATCTCTGTAACAGCAGCAAACTTCTCCACCTCATGCTCTCTCCAAGTCTCCCAAGGATACACGGAACAACACAGGTTGTGCTGCAGGTCTTTGAGGGACCCCAGCAGGAACCCCTTTAGCTGTAGGAGTTGCTAGTTGTTCCTATCCCTAAGTCATTTGTGGAACAGCTTCCAAAATTCCCCAGGACTATGGTTTTCCCTAAGAGTGTGATGAGAGACCTCCTGAAAGCCTGAGGGACGCAAAGATGTGCACAAGTAGAGTCAAGGAATCAGTTTTAGTTGGTGTGAGAGAGGGCGGCTTCAGCAGAGCAGCTTAACCAGCAGCCAGTGTGAGGGAGGAGCTCTGGAAAGAGTTTAGAAGAGCACAAGACAGCCTGCAAGACATCTGCATCACATTCCTCTAGGAGGAATTTAGGCCCCCGAAGACAAGATATCATACCATAAAAGTTGCTCTCGCATAGCACGTGTTATTTTCAAGACCTATTTGACTGCTACTGGGCTTTCTACCAAATAGCCAAGTCCAGGGAAAAGGGTGGAAGGCAGGAAAACAGAGAGATCAGTCCAACAAACTATCGGTTCTGTGCTTCCAAGCCATTCGTCACTAGGCAAATAAATGAGAAACGCTGAAAACCAAAACGCTGGGACAGATGGAATATTCCAAGGCGCGCTGGCAGGAGAGCTTGTGGCAAAGTAACATGACCCACTTTGCCTTCCCTCCGCCACAACCCCGGCTCACCAAGAGCGGGGAGGGCCAAGAGCTAATTTTAGCAGCTCTGAGCTCACATTCGAGCTGGCAGCGCTAAGAATAGCGCCTGGAATGTGACCCCAGCCGCTCGGCGGCACCGCCAACCGGCGCGGTCCACGCGGCTGCCTCTGCCATGCTCCCACCCGCCCCGGGCCTGCCTGCCTTGCCTCTGGCAACAGAGCTCCACGCAAGGGAAGTGTTCTCTCACCCCAAGCTACAAGGTGAAGGAGAATTGAAAACAAATAGAAGAAAACAGACACTGAACAGGAATTTTGTGGGGTTTCTTTTTTACTTTGGTGACTCCTAATAATAAAAGTACCAATAGTTCCACAGCCTGAGAAATGTACGGCACGCCACATCTCAGTAACAGCCTTGCCTTTGGTTTATAGCGCACTGACAACCTATCTTTCCTTCCTGTACCTAAAACCTGTGCATTTTATACTTCCTTAAAATAAAGAGAGAGCAGGAACAATGAGGTGAATGCCTACTTGCCTAGTGATTTACAAACACTGCCTAGTGATTTTGTATATGGGGTTTTTTTATTAAGTCTGAAGAATAAATAAATAAATAAAGACTTAACAAATATTAATAAATATTAAGTCTTCCTAGCAAGCTCTGCAATTTGAAAAAGTCACTAAAGGACAAGACCTATAACGTGGTGCTCACTGTTTAAAAGATCTTTCCTTTCACCGCAGTGCTGCGTATCTGGCAACTGATACAGCATCACCTGGCATCCAGTGAATGAGAAGTCTGATACCTGTAAGCAGCTGCAGGCTGGTTCCCATCAGCACTGGTAAAGACACGATGCAGGTAGTCATTCAGCAGCCTGCTGTTCACAATTCCTGGTGAGAAACGGAAGGGAAATAAGCTCAGGGAGTCAGGAAGTAAACTCAAACATTAATTTCATATACAAGCAAGAAACTGGGGAAAATGATATTCAAGTTTGGAGGTTAGTACAGTGTAAAACATGGCTTCAAGAAGTCATTCATCATCTTACTGTCTTCCAGCATTATGGGGTGCTTCTCCACGACAAAGGCTCTTTCCGACGTGAGCTGCTCTACAACAGCAAACGGGAGGCTATAGATTGGTCCCCATAGGAGGAACTACATCCTCAGCAATCCCGCTGTACTGCTTCCAGATAAAAGTAACTTCAAAAGCTGGAGCTGGGAATCCAATCCCATTTCAAAAAAATAAAACATAAATCTTATTGCTCTTGCAATTCCTGATGTCCTTTTTGTACCTGGGACATTTTAAGGGCGTACATCCCTTAACTGCACTGGAAGATGCTGAGAGAGAAGGGCTTGCAGATGCAGCTCATCTCGTCTAACCCACAGCCTTCGTTAATGACCATGTCTCACTTCAGCTTTCCTCGTGCAAAACAATCCCTAGTGCCACACTGGTGCTGCGTGCTTTATTTCCGTGTGCAACAGTGCCCTCAAACACCAGAGTTGCAGTCTCATGAGCACACTTCTGCTGGGTTGGCGAGTCCAAGAGAAAACAGACTGCCTAGCAGGCATCAGAATTTCCCAGAAAAGGATTTGTCTAAGAACTTAACAAGCTGTTCCTCCTGGATCAGATGGGACCAAGGCAACGTGACATTCTCCAGCCTCACGAAGCAGGGCTGTGTGCCGAAGAGAGGGCGCTGTGATGTGAGCTTCTGGAGTTCTCAGTGCTACAGGAACATGCCTCCCAAAATCTCACCTCGGTTCAGGGATTTACTCGCTTCCAGCCCCAGCACACCTCACGTCAGCAAAGTGACTGTACCTGGAAGGCAGCTGATCTCACGTGAGGCAAGGGGCACTCACCCGAGCCACAGTGCTCCTGCTTTTTCACAGCACGTACAGACCCATACCTGTGACCTTGGACTTCTCTGGCTCGGTGCTCAGCCTGTAGTTCTTCCTCGAGAAAGCAGTCCCAGCACCTCTCGACGTCATTCTTCACAGGCACCGCTTCCGGAGCAGACATAAGACGGACAGACACCTCGAACAAACCTTGCTGAGGAGGATGCTGCCCTCAGACTTCTCCCTTTCCTGGAGGTTGACGTACCTGGATTGAACAACAGGGATAAGCCAAAAAAATTGCCAGAGTTCTTGCGCTCACAATATCATACAAGCGTCCAAAGCCAACCAACTGCCAACCCACCTCTCAGTCCCACGTGCCCAACAGCTCAAAATCTTCCCAAAGCAGACAAGGCACTGAGCCACACTTCAGGCAACCACACAGACCCCGCTCCAACCAAGGGCACAGGCAGAACCAAGCCAGAAACAAGGCAACCTTGGCACCGAGCCTGACCCAGAAGCACTAAGCCAGCACAGAGCCGCAGCTACCACCGCTGCCAAACACTGCCAAAACAGGCACTTCTGCTCCTGTCCTGATGAGACACTTCTGCCTTTCTCTCCCACACTATTTTTTAAGACAGGAACATGCACCTGGTTAATCTTCTCTTTAGGAGGTTACTAGATTATTCTGCTATCCAAAACAGAGAGGGAGAGAGAAGGAACGAGACAAATGCAGATGAACCGGACTATGAAAGACATTGACTACAAAGCAAAAGACCCAGCTGTTGGTTTTATAGGGGCAGAGCTGATCTGACATGTGCCAAGGCAAAAACAATGAATTCAAGTTGCTAGCTCCACCCAGCTTCAAAAAGTCAGGCTGCACCTCTCTCCTGTTTCTGGTCGCTCCGATAGCCAACCGTCACTGGAAGTCTCTCTCATTCACCAGCCAGCCGCTGACAAACCGCTCCGTGACACACAGAGCAACAGGAAGATGCAACAGGAGAAAAGGCTGCAGGGATTAAATGCTTGCCAGCAATCTCATACAGAGCAGAAACTAAGGTGAATCCAAGAAAAGTTAGTGAACTTGCCAAGCGATGCAAGTGCCACTGCAACTCCACTGGCAGGAGATCCCTTGAGTTTCAGCTAGAGTCGGGAAAGGACTTCCTAAAATTGCTCTCCTCAGGGCCACCCCAGCATCCCGCAGTGGAGCAGCACTGCCCAGCACCCCTCCTGCAGCAAAACCACAGGAACAAAGCAAAACCCAGCCTGGATCAATGGCCCTGAACGATTTGAGACTCAAAATAAGGAATAAAACAATCGAACTATAAACAGAAACACATCACTTACTACCAAAGCAGAGCAGACAGCACAATGTGTACTACCCTAAAAGTACTCTAAATGTGAGAAACATGATTTCATCTCTGTCAGGACAAGTCAAAGACTCCCGAAGGTGGTGGGGAGTGTCCCTAGCTCTTCCCAAGGGTGGCCGGACCCGTACCTGCACTGCTGAAAGTCTGAACACCCAGCGAGAGAGCACAGCACGGCCACACCAGCACCATACGACAGGCATTGCTGGCACCGCTGCAGTGCCAGGGTTTGGGTTTTCTTTTTCGATCAGAGTAAATGCTGCTTTCAACAGGTCAGAGGAAGAGCAGAGTGAGGGGACGCTCATCTCCCTCTTCGCAGCTCCCATGTGCGGTTCACAAAACCGGCCCCAGCAGCTCCGGCAAAGGCACCCAGCTCTGAGCCTGGCTGCCGGTCAACCTCCCTCCTCTGGGCAATGGCAAGGAGCTCCCAGCAGCAGGGAAAAATAAACAACACGGGGGAAGAAGCCAG